TGGCAAGTCCAGAGGCCTCTGCAATGCGAGCTGCTACCCAGATGGACCTCTCGGCGCCCATTACGGATTATTTCATCTCCACTAGTCACAATACGTACTTGACTGGAAACCAGCTGTACAGTGAATCGAAAGCAAGTGCTTATACAAATGTATGTTCTTTCCAACATCAACATCCACTAGTGGAACTATCTTCGCTATTGAAGGGTGGGGTGCAGTATGGCTGGTTCTTCAGCGTAATTTTGAATGCGTTGGGAGCAGAAGATGCTGAAACAAGATCAATAAGGTCTCATGTTGTGCCCAACTCTCCCATCGATGACTCTTCTAATTTCCCCAGGACTTGTGATAGCAACGGCTGATCTCCTCAGGTCCTACTCAGTGGGTGCAGATCCGTCGAGATTGACGTCTGGGATGGAAAAGCGGAGGGTGAAAGCTCCCAGGAAACTGGCGACAGCAGTGCCACTAGTGGCAGTAACCCGAGCTCCGACGATGAGAAGATCAGTTCCTGTAAACCCCGTCGCGGATCTAAAAGGGAAAAGTTGAAGAAGATGACTGAGAACCACCGTCATCTGCGCGCCCTTTCCCAGGAGGTTGGCAAACTAGAAGGCTTCCTGGGGCATCACAAGCCGTCCACGAGCAGTGGAAGCTCTGGCGAAAGCAAGGCGTCTGGTAGCGCGATCCCGGTTCCTGGTAAACCAGAGCCACGAGTGTTGCATGGTCACACGCTTACTAGGGAGACCAGCTTTCGCGAAGTCTGCTATGCGATCCGGGACAGCGCATTTGTTGCAAGCGACCTTCCAGTCATTGTTAGTTTGGAAGTACATGCCTGCCTGGAACAGCAACAGACAATGGTCGAGATCATGGAAGAAGCATGGAAGGGGATGTTGGTCGAGGTCACGCCTGAACTCGAAGCTGGCACGGTCCCGCCGCCGCCTCTTAAGGATCTGAAGAGGAAGATCTTGATTAAGGTGAAGCACGTCGACTCCGTAGACGAAGGTGGAGACCGTGAAGCCAAGGAGAAGGCAGTTTATACCCAGCACATGGAGGCTTTGAAGCAACAGAAAAGTCCCACGAGTCCGGATGAGGCTTCCAAGACTCCTCAGACTCCGGAGTCCACCACTGCAGCTCCACACAAGCCCTCCAAGATCCTGCAGGCGCTCAGTAAACTGGCCGTATTCACCAAGGGCTTCCACTTTAACAATTTCGCACAGCCAGGTATGTTGTAGTGCAAATGATACAATTTAACTCGTAGAGAACTGCACACACTGACTGACATACAACAGAGGCCAAGGTTCCCAGCCATGTGTTCTCATTGTCCGAGAAAGCCGTTCGAGAAGCACATGCCACCGATGGCGAAGCGTTGTTCGAGCACAACCGGCACTTCTTCATGCGCGTCTATCCCAATGGCTTGCGAGTCGACTCCTCCAACATGGACCCGACCTTCTTCTGGCGGCGTGGTGCTCAGATGGTCGCCCTGAACTGGCAAAACTTTGACAAAGCAATGATGCTCAATTCAGGCATGTTCGCAGGGGAGCAAGGTTGGGTGCTCAAGCCTCCAGGATATCGCGGCTCCGATGCACAGCCTGGAATTATCGAACCTCGCCGACTGGATCTGACTATTGAGTTCCTGGCTGGCCAGAACATCCCACTGCCCGCTGGCCACACCAACGAAAACAAATTTTACCCCTTCGTGACGTGTCTCCTGCACGTGGAGACACCAGATGACAGCTTCGCCGCATCTGATGACGACACTGAGTCCGAAAAGACCGGTTACAAACATTGCACGAAGAGCGTTACCGGCGTGAACCCCGATTTTGGCAGTCAGAGGATGGAGTTTGCGACCGTCTCAGGCTTCCTCGATGAATTGACATTTGTTCGGTGAGTTACTTTCCTATATCCCAAACTAGCTGCATGTGCACTTGCTAAATGCAGACAGATTCAAAATCAAGGACAACGAATGGATGCACAACGCGCTGGCCGCATGGGCGTGCATTCGACTAGATCGACTTCAAGAGGGCTATCGGATCATTCACCTGAATGATAGTACTGGAGCACCAACAGATGGCGCTCTCCTGGTACACATCACCAAGAAATACAGCTGAGAGCACTACCTACGAGCACACTCAAAGACAAGATCATTTCGTTTACATTACATTCGGACGTGTCAACAGTGTTTAACAACATATAGCCAGAGTTAGAGGCGGTGTCTTTCTTTCTATGTATTCAAATTCTCAAGACGAGACAAGACAAGACAAGACTTTAAAATTAAATATGTATGCCATTCGAGATGGCGATATCACACATCCTTAATGATGTCTTGCTCTCCATATAATTAAACAACATCACCAAATCTAACTATCGAGGAAGAGTAAATAACTATGATATGAACCGAAACAAACCATATTCGGCAAACCCCTTCTTCACAGCCCAAAATAACTTGACACTCAGACCCCTGACACCCGACACATGCCCAACCTTAATTTCCCCCAAGCCAAGAAAATCCGGGGTAAACTAGGAACATCCCCCACCCAATCCGAAATAGGCAACTCTACGCGCTGACGGGAGAGGATGTTACCCCGCGCTTTTGCGGTTCCTGTTCCCGGATGCGGGCGGACTGACCTGGTCGCCTTCATTATCATTGCTATTTTCTGTTTCTGTCTCTTACTTAGGTTCTAGTTCCTGTCTTCTTCTTCTTCTTCTTGTGGAAAAAGCTTGAGGATCTTATCTTTATCTCTGCCATACTCCGTCTCTTTTATCTTGTTGTTCCTATTGATGGTTATGTTTGTGTTATGGTGGTTTGTTGATGGGTGATGGGTGATGGCTGATACATCTATTATTTCCCCTTCGTCTATTGATGACAGTGAAAAGGGGGGCTCATTAGCAGGTCGACGACGGACTCATGAGGAAAGACCTGCTACGAAGTTTACGCGGTGTCGGACGGGGTGTTTGCGGTGTAGGACTAGGAGGAGGAAGTGTATGTTTTATCTCTCCCCCCCCCCCCCCCCTTTCTCATATCGATTGTTGGGTAGCAATTAGCTGATAAAGCTGATTTGGTATTAGGCGACGAGACTAAGCCCCGGTGTCGGAATTGTATTGAGAAGAACCTGGTTTGCCGCTATGGTGTCCAGGTGACGTTTTTACCGAAGAATACCTTCACCGTTGCGGAGGGGGAGTTGTGTACGAGTACGAATACGAAGTCGATTGAGAAAGAAGAGAGGGTGGTTGTACGGAGAGAAGAGCGGCAGAGGAAGGGGAGGTGGAGGTGGGTTAAGGTTCGTTGTGAGAGATAAAATTTTGCTTTTATGTCCTTTTTTTTTTTTTTTTTCGCTGACAAGGGGCTATTTCAGTTTGTGAATGAGGATCCTACAGTGGGTGGGGATGATGTTGTTGTAGATGGAGATAGTATAAGCGATGGGATGAGGGCCTCGGGAGATGAGACTGTGTTGGCTCCATCTGGAATTGATTCTGGGGTCGATATTGGTGATGGTGGGCTGCATGGCTCACCTGCCATGCACTCTTCATTGGTTGGTAGTAAAGCCTTCAGCGATAGGGACAAATCCGCTGTACATGGGCTTCTTGCGTTGGGGATAGGGAATGGTGTCAATAATGAAAAGGCTGTCCCGGATGAAGGCTACGGGAAGAGGGCGTCTAAATTCGTCTCGTCAGAGTTGGTGGCTAGCACGCCTGCCGTGATGAAGCATGCTCCTAGCTTTGTGGGGTTTTCTGAGAGTTTGCATTCGAGCATAAGTGCCAATTCATTGACAGATACGGCAAAGCTAAAACTCTTATGTCATTATCGGTACCATGTAGCACCATGGGTAAGTATAACGCAGTCTAGTGGAGTTGCAGACTGACAAATCACTTGCAGCTCGATATTTGCGATCTCACTCATCCATTCGGAATCACTGCTGTCCAGATGGCACTCGGCTCGGAGCCGCTCATGACAGCTTTGCTGGGACTTTCCAATGCTTGCGTCATCCTAAAGGATATGGGGAATCAGCAAACGTCTCATCTTAGTCGTATAGATCAGTGGACTCGTCCACTGCGGTCAGATAGCTTCACTTTAACTGCTGAGAATGCTTTGACGGCCGTGCTAGAAGAGACAAGATGGCTTGTCACCGATATTGCTCAGACTTGGAAGAACATGGAGAACCTCATGACACGGACACGGAATCTTGATCCATTGGCTCATCAAGCCCTTGATCCAGGTATTGCGTCGTCTATCTACTGGATGTTCTTCCGCCTAGGTTCGTCCCAAAACCTCCACGCATGTATGTGCCATTCTGACCAAACCAGACTTGAGTGCCGCGCTCGCAAACGACAGACCAATGGAGATACAACTTCCGATGCTCCCATTACCTAGCCTACCAATTCTATCGAGGATAGAGGAAGTCCGGGAAAGAACCCGAGCGTATGCCTATCCCCTCCTCTGGCTGTGTGGAAAAGCTTTGATGCTATATCACCAGCAGACCAGCCCCGGCCAGTTTACAGCCCCACAGCAGCAGCTGGATAGCTGGCTGGATGTTTTTGACGCAATTGAGCAATGGTACCATCTGAGACCACACGAATTCCAACCTATGGTGGACTTGGGTGTTGACGATCAACTTGCCCAGGCCGAAAGTGGATTTCCGCTGCTGCTATTCGCAAACGGAACGGGTGCCTTCTGCAATCAGTTGTACCATACTGCCATGCTACTTTTGCTGCAGTGTAAACCACGCACAGCACTTTTGGGCTTGCAGTCAATAACTTTGTCGCCACTGTGGCATTCGCAACGTATCTGTGGCATCGCACTGAATAATGACCGCCGGGAATCCTGGGATCCCTGCCTGATAGCCTCATTCCTGGTGGCTGCCAGAAGAATGACACATGAATCGCAGCAACAGGAGATCTTGGAAGGCTTTGAGCGGGTGTGCAATGTCACTGGATGGGACTTGGATGGATATTTGGCGCAACTCCGAGAGGATTGGTCCTTCATTGATGGTTTCTAGCATGAAGGGTCATGTTCATCTCATTCCGGAACAACCCCAGGCAACCTCCAAATCCCGAATCCGCCAACAGGTTCCCCAGCCAGTTTCAGCCTCGATGCTTTGAATCAGCCTGATGATCTCCTCATGCTCCGAAACATGACTGAAAAGCTGTCCGGCAATCCACAGTGGCTGAATGGAGTTGTTCAAGCACCCTTGGTGTGGGTTTGCCAAGGAAATACCACAGATTCGACGAGCATGCCATAGAGGAAACAAAGCTGGCGACCGTGGAAGCCGAATATCCTTGGGCATCATCTTCAGCAACAGTATGCATGCAGTGTGGTACAGTTGGTTCGACGAGATAGCAGCCCAATGGACGAACAGGATATGAGGGAAAGGCTTGCGATTGACTGTCTGCACCGGAAGAAGCTCGCTAGGACGCTCGGAGAACCAGCATAGTAGGTCATTCCAAAGGCTGATCCATCGTGTGCGGAACCTATCTGGAGTACACCCATTATCTTCACCTAGTTCCACAAACTTTGTACGATCGGACACCAGCTCAGTCGCTTTGACGCACAAATACACCGCATAATTTGCATGCATATCTGGGGACTTGACACTCTGAAACAGCTGATGAGCATCCTCTGTCTGGTAGCCTTCAGGAAGCCATTTAGAGGGATGTAGCAGCGTGGTCTGTGTGCCATCTGAGATCAGCGCACCGCACAGATCTGCTCCGGTCAGAAAAGATTGTATTATACAGTACAAAAGTAAAATGCTCAAAAAAGGGATACAATGCAGCTCTAGACTCACCCATTCTTGCATAACACCAGAACACTGCCTGTAGAATGCCCTGGCTGAAGCCGTGGATTCCAAACGCATCAAACAGCGCGGCACAGCCTTCAAGATGGCGACGCCAATCCTGGGCACGAGCAGACATCATTTCCAAGCAACAGAGAAGCACACATGCCGCTACAATTTTCGGGTCACGTAGTTGAAGAAGCGGGCTCAGTCGTCTGATTGCTTCTTGGTACAATTCGAGGCTGTCAAACCAATTCCGAACCCCATTCTTGCGTTCGATTTGACGAGCAGAAATGGCAAGCATCGCGTAGGAAAGAGCGGGAAAGGAGCGAGCCAACACGGGAACCTGCTGACGAAAGGTGCACTGAGAGTCGAACATGTCCAGCTATTCCTTCTTTAGTCATGCATCGATTGAAGTCATCATCCACGGCACATACCCAAGGCGCTACTTCTGCCACATAGTTTTTCAAGTATTCGATTCGCCTTCTACTCGACAGAGAAGACTGCAAGAGCTCCCCTCTCCGTTCTGGCTGGTAATTTTTCGAGGGTGGTGATTGTTCGGCTAGTTCAATCCTTCCCACAACATCTGGGCTGGATACTCGTGTGGGAGCAGTTGAGTTCGCGAGAGAAAAAAGGATGCATCGCAGCTCTTCCTGTGAGGCTAGGTAACCTGGATCCTGCGAGAAGCCATCCTGAGTCCAGCTAGCTGCTGGTGATTGGAAAGGATCACTGCCGATGGGCAATGTCGGAGAGTTGTGCTGATCAGTGTAGTAATCTGCTAGGTGGTAAGGGCTCTGCAGTTGGTCCCATGCCGGCGATTCTGAAATGTTGTCTGCAGGTACTGGCTCGGGTTGCTCTTGTAGCGAAGTGGTCCGCGCACGTTTCCTGGGTGGTTCACCGAACGTGGTGTCGTCCATGCCGATGCTGATGAATCATAGGAGATAAGACAGACAATCAATACTTTCTTGAAGACATCGTGAGCAAGCGGTTGTTTGCAGAGCAGTATGAAAGTCTAACGTTCACTTACTGGGGCGAATAGTTGTGTCCACATGTCAGTCTGATGCTTTGTGTGGCGCCCAGTATTCTATCGGGCTAGTCAGTGCAAAGGATGGAAGGAGTTTTGGGTAACAAGTCCCACTTGATCCTCGACAGAGCCGCCAAAATGGTGATCAGACGATGAGGAAAGGAATCGGCAGAAGCAAAGAGCGACAGCCGAAGCACAGCTCCGCATGGGGTCCGAAACGGGTTTAGCGCGATGCGGGGTAGCATCGTGAAGATGGAGATGGAGATGAAAGTGACAGGACGTCTTTGATAAAACGAATTCTTTGTACTAAAAGCAAGCATCTATCATTTTCAATAAAGAAATAATTCCGGAGTAAACGGTTTGGATTCAAGAGTCCCTGCCGAAGTCAATTGACTTGCAGTGAACCGTGATGGAGTCTGCGACTGACCACAGCACAGAAACATGGTCCCGATGCCATGATTTATACACAACAAGCATAGTAGACGTACGCCATGAGGAAGAAGAAAGCTTGGAGTACTTTTAGGATATAGAAACAAGCCTTGAGCACGTGCAGATATCCAGGTTCCAATATTGACGGTGGCTCAACTTACCAAGTCCGTCTACAACTTAATCAAAGATACAGTACTCCAAGGCTTGACATTCCTTAAAGGATAATCTCTAGTGAGTAGTATCGGTTGGAAGAGTATAATAAGACATCTAAACCAATGTAACTGTATATTCTTCCAAGTCCCTTCATAAACACTGCTATACACTCTATAACTCACGTACTACCTATCCAACGCAGTTGCACACTCATCACCCCATCCCAACATTCATCCACCCTCACCCACAGACCACCCAAATGACGTCTACTGTCAACCCTCGGCAACACCAAACCTAACCAAAGAAACCATATCCCAAGACGGCACGGCAGCATCCGATCTCGTCGCCAACCCCGGGCCATCATTCCCCCTCATATCCGAATTTGGTCTAGCGCCTCAACAATCCGGGGTAATCGTTGCCACGACCTTCCCTTTTGAGTAACTGGCCCAAGAATCAGCATCATGATCGATGACGAGGGTGTCTTTTCTGTCTTTAGCCGTCTGGGTGACGATCTTGCAGACTATCTCAGGGTGGTGGTACTACCGAGATTCTACTACTATTCCATGATTCAGTAATTCGAGCCGTGGCTGGGGGTGGACGGGGTTTGTCCGATGTCACACATACCCTCACTACTACCTACACTGTACATATATAGTTGATGCATCGACCCATTTCCGACTGGAGAGTTGAACCCAAGAGATTGAACTTAAAATCAAAACTCCCTACATGAGACTTTAATAAACTAGAAAAGGGATAAACAAAATGCCAAAACTCAACCTCTTCGGCACCGGCTTCGTCCTCCAAGCCGCAATATGGGCGGCCTGTGGCATGGCATTCATTCTCTTCGGTATATCCCCATTCCAACCCACCACCAAACCTCCTATCCAGTCAATCGACTAACAATTAACCCTCCAGGCTACGACCAAGGCGTCTTCTCCGGCATCGTGGAAAACGACGACTTCCTCGCCACCATGAACCACCCCAACGACAGTCTCGAGGGGATTATCGTCTCCATCTACAATCTGGGGTGTTTCGCCGGATGTATTGTCAATTTCCTGCTGGGAGATTGGCTGGGACGCCGGCGGGCAATGTGGTTTGCTATGGTGTGGGTTATCGTAGGCCACCCCATTCTTTATATAACAGTAATTGTGATTTGCTAATATGAATATATCTATGGGTATAGATCGGAGCAACTCTCCAATGCTCTGCATTCTCCGTCCCCCATATTATGGTCGGACGATTCGTGACGGGCATCGGGACAGGCGTGGAGACGTCGACGGTGCCGATGTATCAGGCGGAATTGTGTGAGGCGAGTAAGCGCGGGAAATTGGTGTGCAGTGAGCCGTTGTTGGTTGGGGTGGGGATTGTTATTAGGTATGTCCTTCCTTCCTTCGGGTCATTCAAACCTCATGTTCTTTTTCATTTGATGATATGCTGAATGTGGTTGATAGCTACTTCTTCGACTATGGGATGAGCTATGTTGGTGGTCAGATCGCTTGGAGGTTGCCGATTGCGTGTCAGATGATTTTCGCTTTTGTAAGTATATTATTACTTGTCTCACTGGAGTTTCTCGCTAATGCAGATTATCTATCTAGGTGGTCATCGTTCTGGTATTCGGGCTGCCCGAATCACCCAGGTACTGCTACAAGGAAGGTCGTAACGAGGAAGCACTGCAGATCTTAAGTGATGTGTATGGGCGCCCAAAAGACGACCCGAAAATCCTGGCAGAGCAGGAAGAAATCCTCGAGGCTATTTCCGTGGAGACGAAATACGGCGAGTACAAGTGGAGGTATGTGCTCACCTTCACCATCGCAATTTGATGCAAGCTGACGAGACCAGAAATGTCTTCAAGCGGGATGAAGTTTCTACAGGCCACAGAGTGTAAGTCTCGCGTCTCTTATCTGTCGCGAATCATCTACTAACAACCGCGCAGTCTTCTTGCATACGGTATGCAATTTATGAATCAGATGGGTGGTATCAACATGGTCGTGTATGTTGGGCATAGAACTCACCTCACGAAATTCTGAAAGCCTTGCTAATGAAACCCAGATACTACATCCCCACCGTTCTCTACACCAACGTCGGCCTGGACAAAAACCTCTCCAACCTTCTCGGCGGCTGCGTTCAGATTATGTTCGTCGTCGGAAGTATATTCCCCACCTTCTTCGTGGATCGCGTCGGTCGCAGAGCTCCCATGATCTGGGGATCATTCGGCCTGGGCATCTGCATGATGATGGTATCCATCCTGCTCAGTTTCAAAGGTCACGCCAACGAGCATGCAACTTCATCAGCTGCTGTCGCCTTCTTCTTCGTGTACATGCTCATCTTTGGCGCATCGGTTAACTGCATCCCCTGGTGCTACGTGCCCGAGATCTTACCCCTCCATGCGCGCGCCAAAGGAACAGCCGTAGGTATCTCTTCGAACTGGATCTGGGTAAGTTACTACTAGTAATCTCACGCTCCTTTCCACGACTAATAATCATGAAAATGAAAAGAACTTCTTCGTCGTAATGATCACACCCATCATCATCAACCGCCTGCAATGGAAAGCATACCTCATCTTCATGTGCCTGAACTTCGCCTTCGTCCCGCTAATTTATTTCTGCTACCCGGAAACCGCCAAACTGACCCTCGAGGAGATCGACTACCTGTTCACCACCCCAGGGAAGAGTGCCGTGCAAATTTCCAAAGAGCTCGTTAAACAGCGAAAGCAACACCCAGGCCAACAACGACTGACGCGACACACGGACGAGACCGGCTCCGAGAACCTGGAGAAAAAGCAGGACAGTGTTGTCGCCGGGGTATCAGACGAGCAAGTCGAGCAGGTCTAAGGAAAGGAAGGAAGGAAGCCAGGAGCCGGAGGCAGGGAGGATGAGAAAATAAAAAAATAAAAAGAAAAATAAAAAATTCGCGCGTCCGGTTTTATGATCAATGTACATGAAATGAATGTATGTATGTATGGCGTCTGCACATGTGGAGAGAGAGAGAGAGAGAGAGCTTACAGGAAACCCGCTGTGCTGGCCACGGCGGGTTTTCTTTTCAAGGGGTAACCAGTATGAGGCAATTTCTAGCAAATAAAGCACTCACTTTCATGCAGTGGTTGCAGAACAAAACAGAAAGGAATGGTTCGCAATGCAATGCGCCCGTGGTAGTAAAGTAGATATCCGTCCAATGAAGTGGATGGGATTTAGATCAACTCAAAGGACCGCCGAAAAGGCTTGTACAGCACAGTATCCAGTAGCATCATTTAGGGGCTTACTGTGCACGACTTGAAATGATGATGAGAGTATCACCTTGCGCGCCGGAAAAAAGCTTCAATAAATGATTATCTTTCGCAAACCAGCCAGTTCGGTCAATCAGTCAGCCAGTCAGTCAGTTAATCACCGAGGACCCCGGGAACCAACTCAGTAGTACCAGTCAGCGAATGCAGGACGTTTAAGCAAGAACGAACCCTGCCAGACCCCCGACCCCTACCCATGTCTGGAATTGTGGCGAGCTGGCGAAGGTTGTTTGAGACAGCCGGACCCCATGCAAGCCGAGAAGAGGACGATTTACATATGCACATACCTGGGCCATTCCCTCCCTCCCCACCACGCCTTCGAGCAAAAGGAGCAAAAAAAAAAAAAAAAAAAAAAAAAAGCAAAGCTGGTGATATGTATGTACCGTATGCAAGATGCATTTGGCTCGAAAGTTTATCAATCTTGAACATTACATTATGATTATATTATACATGAGGGATATCGGGGACCAGAAAAAAAAAAGCCCTTCCCCCCAGGGGTGGAGATACACGCGGTGAAGAGATTTGTTGTTATTGTTGTTGTTGCTGCTGAGCTATAATGCATCAATGGTAGTGAGAAAAATAAATTGCGGTGAGCGTGATGCGAGTCCCCAATGATGGCAGCCTAACTGTGCGATTTTTTTTTCGGGAATGATGATGGCGCGGCAGGATGGATTTGGTTTGGTTTGACAAATCTGGGTTTCCTTCCTGCTTGATGGATGGATGGATGGAATCCGGGAATATGGGACAAGCAAGCAAACAAAGAGGTGGGAGGGAGGGGAAACAGAATAGAACTGATGGGAATGGGCGGGGATTAATGGATAGTGGATTGAGAGACTACTATCGAGCAGAGCTCACTGGTAGAGTACCCCGTAAATAGTATCTATCCTTATTCCTACCCCGAAAGATAGATAGATAGTACATTGTTACTATCTTCCTTAGATTAGCCATCGTTGTTTGACAGGAGCGGGTCTCTTCCTTTCCCCCATATCTACTGGGTGTGACATGTCACATTCGATGAATATCACGCTGCTTTTAGTGTCCAATTACGATATTCGGGGGCGACTACCGGTCTAGCGTGGCCGGTAATTTGGCGCTAGACTCGTAGTCTTTGTCCGGAGCCACTTCGAAGCACCGAAAGAAGGCAAATGGATTGGGATGAACTGGCCCCGGGGGGTTGAAAGAATTTAGTGTGACTGTGCCAGCTGCATGGCTGCTTCAAAGAATAGGAAAAAAAAAAAACAGGGTCGACGAGGGGGACAAACAGCGGAGAATAACCTCGCCAATCAGCCCTCCTTATCCGCATAATTCGGATCGCGCTTCGGCCCATCAAGCGAGGTCAGGGGCTCCACAGCTTATATGTATCCAATTCCTGCCTGCGAATCACCGGCCGTAAGTCGGTCTGAGCTTTCCTGGCCAAGACGTGAGTGATAGACTGATCAACGTCTGGCGATGGTTAATCCACCGAACTGTGATAGAGTAAGTAAGTTGTGCGTTTACCTGTTCCACCGTCGGACTTGAAACTGGCCACCTGTGTCGGGGGTCTTCATAACCCCGAAAATTGAACGCGAACGAACGAACGCGAAGATCAGGCCAAAACCAAATAATAGAAAATTAGCAGAAATAAAAATAGAATAAAATAATCTATACATAACACGCATGCAAATGGAAAACGACTCATAGAAGCAAGAGTAGAAGCGCAGTCGAAGTACCCAGGGTAGCCCTTGCACGTTGCATTCGCAGCGCTGGTACATCTAACGAATAGACCACTCCCAATCATCGGTATAGATCTGTGCAGAAGACAGGGTCCCGATATTGACTGGTGATTTTTGTGTTGTGTAATTGACTGATCCGGCCTGATCATTGGCGCATCGGCATTCCATCCCTCCCGTCAGTACTCTTAGTGCTTGGTGCTTAGTCCGATAGCAGATGAGGGGACAGGAAGCCAGAATGTAGCAAACAATATGGCTTCATAGGCAGGAGTTCTGAAATGCCATTTTCTACACCATGGGTTTCCATTCCATAAGATGGAGTTCCCAAAAATCGGCATGTAGAACAGCCTCAGATGGCATGGGAGGGTGGGTGATTCGTACAGCCGGGCTCCAAGTGGACCAGAGTGTCACTGATCAGATCTCAGCTGGACAGCCTCCTTGGGCTGTAGAGGTTCTAGCCACATCATTGGTTGAGCCATGAGTGAACGATTTAAATTTTCTTTTATTTCTGAAGTTGTTTATTCTTTTCCCCACTTGGCCAACAACCTGCGGCTGAGTACGACACCATGCACAACGACGAAACTCTTGCATGAGTAATTAGCAGAACACCCGTTTGAAGCTAGACGGGCATAGCACATAAATCAGGATATGCAGAGAGAAATACAATGTGGCTGTTGGGAACGCCGTGGGTTGTGCAGATCGAGGATTGCGTCCTGAAGCCCGCCATATGCGCGAGACGGGCTGCAGCCGGCGCTAACTCGGTAGTGTACTCGCATCGAGCATCAATTTAGATTGAGTGTGACCTATACATTGTTAGCATCAGGAGGTAAAATTGGGAGCTGATCTTTTGTGCTGAGAGCCCACTACGACTGCTCTAGCTCCAGAGGGAATGTGTGGGATTAGGAATGGATAGATTGATCCTCCCGGCCTCCCAACACCAGTCACAATCCATTTGCTCTTTTGGCCATAGGACATACAGCAAGGGCCCGGTTACCGAGAACCCCGTCGTAGCTTGCATAAAACGGTCTGTTGTATGCATCTCAAATGCTGAGTGGTCCTTTCGGGGAATTGTGGAATTTCTCTGTCACCTTTTCCCTGTCCAATCCCTCCTCCTCTCCCCCCTGCTCTGCTGCTATAGTTCACGTCTCTCTTTCCTTTTTCCTTTATCGCTCACATCTCAGCCCTTGTGGCATGCATCACTCACTCTTCCCACCCACCTAGACGATTTTTGGTATAGCCCAACACGTATCTATCACACCAAGGTAAGGAGAGCTGAAACCCTCCCTGGTTGAGGTTCCCCTTAGCTGGGACCTCCAGATGCAAGTCATCGACGGGAAGATCCGAGTCATCCGAATAATTGCTGCGGCGGACATGACATGTTGCCTAACCAGGGTCCATGTATGATTGATCTTTGGATGCATTGAGTCCGGCCAGGTCGTGTCTCCAATCAATCGGTCCAGACTAAGGTGAAGATCTCCCGATGGGAACATAGGTCGCCTGCTCCAGGAGGCGTAATTGGGGGGTGGAGGGGGGGGCACAAACAAGTCCAGTTTTGGCTATATATAGGTGGGATGCTCGGGACCGACGAGATTAAGTTCATGGAGTGGAAAAAAAGCGTGTCCCAGACAAGGTGAACTCTGTCGAAGAACAAGTCTATAATCCTTTAAATACCCTTCAGTTGATTTTTACTACTTTCCACATCACAATTGATCCTCTGGTTGAGAGCTTTATACTTTCTGTTACTCCTTGTGTTGATCTCATTGCGAAGCCGTCACTATGCCTGTGAGTTGCTATGTGTGTAATTATCCTTTTGCGACCGATGCTAATGACATACTAGATGCCCGGAATGAAGTGTCCCCATTGTCTTTCAGAGGGGACTGATGTTTGGGTCATCCCCGGCAAGAATTGCCACAAGTGTGGAACTGCAGTTGGTTGATTGGGCGGCCAGGTGAGATGGATTCGATAGATATACTCTTGGGCGCAATCATACTAACACCAAACCGCAGTCCGCTAGAAACCGCTTCAACTCTGCTTGGGAGCAGGTCAATCCGACTCCTGAGGATGGGGAACAAGGACCGGAAACTCTTCACTGCCTTCTAGAAAACCTTCGAATTCCCTGCGACTGTTATTGATATCGCGCGATTACCTGTTGTTGTTGTTTACAATGATTGAAGAAGCGAGGCAGACGGCAGGATCGGCTGGGAGGAAAGTGAGAAGTGACAGGTACAATATCCCAAGCGTGGAGGTACTAGAGAGCGCTCCCTGCCGTGGGATTGCAATTGGGGGTATGAAACGAGAGGGAAAAAAAAATTCTCTTCCTGTATAATATTTACGATAGACTATTTAGACACGAAATAATTCTGACGCATTGAACGTTATCCAACAGACCAGAAACTTGTGTTTTGAATTGATCACAGTCAAAAGTAAATCAATCCAGCGGGTAGTAAGTAATCTTGGCCTCGGTCCAAGTTGCAGCTCTCCCCGCAGATCACCACCAACTTTCTCCAACTTCCATCTCCCACCTGACATTCCACGAAACATCACCTTTACTCTGTAAACAACACAAAGAACACCCAAATGCTCATAATAGGCCTCACCGGCTCCATCGCGACCGGTAAATCCACCGTCTCCTCCATCCTCTCCGCCGCACCCTACTCCCTCCCCATCATCGACACCGACCTTATCGCCCGCAAAGTCGTCGAGCCCGGCACCCCAGGCTACAAAGCCATCGTGAACTACTTCGGCCCAACCACCCCGGATCTCCTTCTCCCAGCATCCGATCCCAATGACACAACAACAACAACAAACACAAACCGCCCCCTCAACCGCCCAGCACTAGGCCGTCGCGTCTTCGGCACCACCGAAGCCCGCAAGCGAGACCGCGCCATCCTCAACAAGATCGTGCACCCGGCCGTACGGCGCGAGGTCTACAAAGCGCTGCTATACTACTATGTGCGCGGTCACTGGGCGGTGGTTCTGGATGTGCCGTTGCTGTTTGAGAGCGGAATGGATCTGCTGTGTGGGACGGTGATGGTGGTGGGGGTTTCGGATCCGACGGTGCAGATGGAGAGGTTGAGGAAGAGAGATGCGCATCTTACGGCGGAGGATGCGGAGAATCGAGTGAGGAGTCAGGGGGATGTCAAGGGGAAGGTGGAGAGGGCGGAGTATCGGGGGGTGAAGTCGGCGAGGGGCGTGGTGGTGTGGAATGATGGGGATAAGGGGGAGTTGGAGAGTGAGGTGCAGAGGGCGATGAGGGTGGTCAGGAAGAGTACGCCGCAGTGGTGGGCTTGGATGTTGTGGTTGGTGCCGCCGGTGGGTGTGGCGGTTGCGATGTGGAATTTGGGGGTGAATTTCTGGTTGAAGAGGGGGTGGGAGAAGAGGGAGAGGGAGGTGAAGGCGAAGTTGTAACTGTAGGTATAGCTATGGTTATGGGGTAGGGTTGGTGAGTGTGAATAGGTGTGCTAGTGCTGGTGCTAGTGCTGGTGCTGGTGCTGGTGCTGGTGCTGGTGCTGGATGTAAGCTGTATGGTTCGTGTTAATGTTATTATATGCTGTTGATATGGTGATATGCATGCTGGATTGCTTAGTCGTCGCCTGGAACACCTGCTGGTGACTGGTTCTCGGCGTTCAGTCCCACGCTCACATCATGATCAATTTCACTCAGCCAGAATTCTCCTTCACCTCTACTCACTGCACAGGCAGGGTGTGACTGAATGAACATCTCGATTTGAGCATTTGAGTACAGAGCTTTACAAGATTGTGTATTTGGTGCGAAGGAGTATGTATGAATGTTCTGAATCGAATCTGTGGATGAAGACTAATGAGTGATGACTAGGTCAGGTACTATAGCTGGTATCTAGAATACGCGCTAAAGATGTGCTTCTGCTTCGATGAAATGGAATACTGGGTGGAGGTGGACGAGCGAAGTCCTACGCTATACCGCAGGCGAGAGCAGCGTGCAGATAGCTCATCGCTTCCTCCCAACGTTTACCAGCAAGGATACCGGCCAATCGACCCGAAAAGACAGTATAATACCACCCTTCAGACCCGTCGTCTGCAGTACACTGGGGACATTCCACAGAAGCGCGGTATGCAATGAAGGTACTCAAAGTGATCGGGCTGACTGAAAGCAGTTCATCTAGTCCCAAAGAGTGAGCTCTTGGAGCTGGGCAAAGAGACCTGGCTTGAGCGCCGCAGAAAACACGCGCAGCTCCAAGAATCTTGCAGACAACTCATGGAACGCCAAGAAAGAGATGAAGAGTCTCGTCAAGCTCAATGTCAGCCAGAAGAGAATACCCGACAGCATAACACGTCCTCATACCAGTACACGAACGGCCAACCTGCTGTCCGTAGGTCAGCAACGCAGTCTGCCAGATATCTGTACGGTCCCACTACCGACAGAGTAGAACCAAGAATGAATGCAGTCGTCGACTATGATAGATCGAAAGACAAATATCCTGGCAGAAGCCAATGGTATGGCACAGCGCCTAAGAGTGGTACCGATGCCCACCCGTTCTCATATTCACCCATGACGGGCTACCACGGCCGAACATATGAGGCCTACCAGGTTCATGATCACGCTCAGGCGAGGGTTAACGGGACTTATTGGTAAGACAATGTCAAATCTCATCTTCTGGCGAGCAAGGCCCGGAACATACTTGTCTCCAGATTTGTCGGTTTCCAAATGTACTTTATTTATGTTTGCGCTTCTTCTGCTTTTTATCGTCGCCCATCGTGGAATGTCTTCCACCGGAGATGCTTGTAAGTTGTGACAATTTGACACGATGTGGCTTGTTGCTTTCTTTCTTAATCATCGCATCAACATCATCATCGTCGGACTCGGCCTCGGTTTCACCGGTCTGCAAAATATCAGAAAAAAACAATCTTATGTGTATCATGTGATGAAACAAACCGCGGTCTTCTTCTTTCGTTTGAAATTACCGTATGCTTGTCGGCCACCGACAGCCATGTCATCATCGTCCGCATCCAGCGAGCCATCCGCGACAATGAACGGCGGCGGCGCATACTGAGCAACAGGTTCCGCCACACCATAGTCGAGCACCCATTCTGTGTCACCGGAATCTTGAGCCTGACGTGCAAGTGCTTCCTTCCGCTTTTCCTCTTCCTCAGCAAGGGCAGCCGAGATCGCCTCGAGATCCGACTTGGGAGTGCCGATGGGACTTTCAGCGGGGCCGGTGGACAATCTCTGTCGTTTCGGGGGAGTAGAGGCTTTGGACTCGTCGGTGGATGCGGGCTGAGATGTTTCACGGGCGGCATTTGTAGCAGCAGCACGTTGCATGAACTACGACATTACTTTAGTATTCTTAGAACGGAAAAAGAAAATAAAATTGAGGTGTTGCTATACATACCTTCATGGTCAGCAGCCGCGAAGACATGGTCTTCTCTGGCTTGGAGCCAGAGGTAGGAGAGCCCCTCATGACGAATGCGTAGAAGATGTAAATGCAAAACCGAAAACCGTCAAAAACAAGCAAAAAATCGAAGTCATTCAGAAATGAAGAACGACAGCCAGCAGAATGGCTGTGATTGCAAAGCCGAAATTCCCAGGCGGCAGAATCCCACCGCATCAGCCGCAGGAGCGCCGCCGATTGGCCGGCGGCCCAAGCGCAGCAGCTCCCGCAAACTGGAAACCTCATCCAATCTCTCTCCAACCCGAGTCCTTTCGTCCTCACCTCCGCTCCATCCGCCAGCTACTCTCGCGTCCCATTTCGGACCTCAATTGCCCAGCATGTTGCCCTGCTTCCGCAGCCGGGTCGCGACCCTTTCCTCCACCTTCACCCCCCGATTCGCCGCCCGGGCCAGCTACTCGACCACCGTCCCTCGCCTCTCCGAGAACTTCATCCCTGCCAACGACCCGACCCCGCCTACCGCTAAGCCGAATGTCTCTGGCACCAATGCTACTCCCGTTGACGCCATGGGCGGCTGGGATGCTCCCCTGAGGGAGGAACCCGAGGCGGGCGAGCGCACCCGTCACCTCCAGGCTCCCAACCGGGCTACCACCTGGGCTGCCAGCCAGCAGCCGAAGGAGAAGGCCATGGTTGGTCCTCGCTTCGAGCAGACGATAATGGAGTTGCAGGTGCGTTGTTCAGACCTCCCTCCGCCCAGTTCCGGTCAATTGGTCGTGTGGGATGGGGAATATCAAGATCACGACAATATCGATATATAAGACACGAGACGCTGACATTTCCTAGCCCCAACCCTTGGCTGCCATTGAGCTCATCCACAGACAGCCCGTCCGCTGGACGAAAAAGCGCGTCGTCAGCTGTGACGGCGGTGGCGGTCCCCTGGGCCACCCCAAGGTCTTCATCAACACCGACAAGCCCGAGATTGCTACCTGCGGCTACTGCGGTCTTCCCTTCGTATGTTGCCATTGAATTGGTATTAATGATACGTGCTAATAATGTACAGGCCCACGAGCAACACCGTGCTTACCTTAAGTCCCTTCCCGCCACCAGCTACCCTCTCGAGCCTACCGGTGACGCCGCCGAGGTGAACGAGAGCCAGCGTGTGACCGAGGGTGGATTCGAGCAGCGGTAAAGATTGATTTTATAGGCGTTGACGATGTTTTGTTTTTATCCTTTAGCCATACGGCTGTTGTACAGATGTACCAGGTCAATGAAGTCGTTAGATCGAATATTTCAATTTCTAGGATATACTCTGATATATCCACACGTACGCCATCCACTCTACATACTCTACACATCCCACCACAATCACAACCGCACTCCCCCACCATCATCACCACCACCACTACCACAACCAAGTCAAGCCTTCTCACCCTGAATCGTAGCAACCACCTTCCGGGAGTGTCTCATGGCCCTAAACTCCAAGTACCAAATACCCTGCCACGTACCCGTAGCCAAGCGACCATTCGAGATGGGAATCGTAACCGAAGCGCCAATCAATGCGGACTTGATATGAGCCTGCAAACACACGTAAGTAATCATTATAATCCTGTTCCTTCCCCCCCTTCCCCCAATTACTACTATCCCCAAAGGATCAAAGATATGATGAACGCACCGGCATATCATCCTCCCCCTCAGCCGAATGTCTATAAAGATTCCCCTTCTTATCATACGGAGCGATGCGATCCAGCGCATCGCTCATATCCGCGCGTACATCATCATCCCAGTTCTCGTTCAGTGACAGCGCGCAGCTCGTGTGCTGCACGAACAGGTTCAGCATGCCGACCTTGTAGTTCTTGATCTCGGGCAGTTGCTCGAGCACGTGGTCCGTGATGAGGTAGCTGCCGCGTGAGCGGGCTGGCAGGGTGAAGGTTTTTTGGGTCCAGGACATTGTTGTTGAGGAGTTGTGTTGGGACTGGTTTGGTTAGCTATCGCTGTTTGTGTGGGTGTGTGGTTTTGAGGTTTTGAGGTTGCGGGGTTGGGTGGTGGGTGGGGGTTGTTATGCGGGTGAGATGGGAGGGAGGGAAGGTGGTGGATGGGGGAGGGTGGCTTAGTTGGTGAGTATTAGATTGGGAAGGACGTACAGTTACTGTTTTGTGGGAAGAGGGAGGAATTGTTTGATGAAGTTGTTGTTGTTGTGATGTTGTTAGAGTGAGGGATTGAAATTCTGGTGGGGGAACCGCGCATCGACGTCATTTGCAGGTTCCCGATGGGATGGATGGATGTTGATTATCTATCGCTGCAACGCTACAGGCTCATAATCTAGTACAATTTTCTAATCATCAATTGGCTTCTGCGATACGTATCATCAGAACTAATGTATACGACCAGATTGTTATGGCGCGGAGCATATGCTCTGTTGCACGTATGGCGGATTACTCGTCGCTGACCCCCAGTACGTACTGTTGAATGCTATTCCAGCTGCGGTCGAGTTATCCGATTGTATCTGCTGGGTGTTAGCTGCGATACTCTGTGGTCAGGGATACTGAAATGTACATAGTATTTCTGGTCGACAAAGTGCCACCAGTCATCGCTGCGAAACGCATTATCGAGTGACTGGCTGAGCGGATCAACCCAGGTAGTCAAGACGGTGTCGAAATGTGCATGCTTCGACCACGACACATACACCTTTGGATGGTCATTATTCTTGACACCATCGGGATTTCGAGCGTTCCCAGCGTTGATTTGCTCTGTGGTCAGCGTGCTATGGATGCTGCCCCAGGCCAGATTATGGTAACCACTATGGGCTGACAGGAGTGCTCGAGAGGGTTGCCAGGTGTTGTTCGCATTTCGTGAATGGATGATGACTACTCGTTCCCAGTCACTGGTCGACCAAGTCAGACTTGCCTGTTCAACGAGGATGGGCAGGCTACGCGGTGCCTTACTAGTCATGGCCAGTGTCAATCAGATCCAGCACCTCGGCCCCGTCTTTTTCATAGAACAGGTTATACACCACCCGGACATCGGTCTCGTTGCACTGCTTGAACGTGTAGTAGATAGGAAATGCAGGACCAGGATTCCCTGTTGCTACTCCAGGTTTGCGACATCCGCAGCCAACGTCTGGATACTCGCACTGCGGTGCAGCGGGTGTTTTGTGAGCTGCGTCGTAAATGTCCGACGAGTTGGGTGAGCCGCTGAAAGCCCAGGTCGGATAACAGGGAGGTTGGTCCACTGCCTGGCCGAAGAACCAGAGAGGTGCGTAACGGGTAGCGAGCTCGACAGCGCCTTGGCTGAGGAAGTTGTTCATTTCATCGTTGGATATCTGTGTGACGGCTGCCGCCGGTGCGGCGAGAAGAGCCACTCCAGTGTGTTTGCTTTTAAGCCACATCATGCAGTGTTTATATGGCAAGCATCCTACTCTGAAGATCATTAATCTAGGTATCGCGGTATTTTATATTCTATGTTCACGATGCTATCTGGCTACGGCTGGCTGACCCCGCCCTGCACTCCAGGTCTCGCGGATGAATCTGGTGCCTACCTGACATCCCGGAGTGACAGATGAGAATGGCATCGTGCCGAATTTCAGGGGTATGGACTGGAATAGTCTTGAAGTCGTCAGCTGCTGGCTAGCATAGCTGCACTCGTGGTCACTGCAGCTGGTTGGGTGCCTATCTTCCCGGCTCTCACATGCTCGTGATGACTGCTTGAAGTTCTCTAGCCCTGTCGATCACCCTGATTTAGAGCCGGACGGGGACTTACACAGTAGGAACATGTTTTCAATCTAGTCGATATTATTGGTCGGATGGTAGTATCAGCTGCTCGGGAACTTCTGGCAAGGCTGAAGCCTAATCATTGCTCATACTTCGTGACAGCTAAATAATAAAGAAAAACAAAACATGTATATCTACATCCGGCTCCGGGGGCTATTATTCATCCCATCCAGTCATTCCTTCTTGCGCCCTTGCTCATCCAAAAGATCACTTTGCTCATCAATACCCGACCACTTGGGCTTCCCATCTGGAATATCCAGGACTCGCTTGCCGTAGAAAATATGGCACCTATACGACATCATAAGCATTATGCAGTCTAAGCCGGCACTACAAGGACCACTCACTCTGGTTCAAACGCCTCGCGCCAGTGCTGTCGATGTTCATCATAATCAGCGCTCTCGATGGCCTGCGGAAACATCAAGCAGACATTCCGTCCCTCATCCATAATAGGAGATCGACAATAAGAACAATACACCTTAGTCGGAAGCTTATACTCCTGGGTGTCATTCGTGGAGGAATAGAACGACAGGCCTTCAGCTCCCTTCGTAAAAGCGAGATCAGACTTATGGAAAATAGCCGCCCATTGGAATGGCGCGCCTACACAGTCAGCATGTTTCAGCCACTACTACCTCGTTAAGTAAGAAACTACTGACACGGCAGACATACCATGCGTCACTTGACAGCCCCGACAGTGGCAGAATTTAGACTTCAATGGTCGGTCCCGGCTCAATTGATAAGTCACCTGGCCGCATTGGCATTTCCCACGCCATTTCACAGGACCGAATTCCTCAGGAGAGCGGATGCTGTAGGGCGGACGCTTTGTCCAGTCGTCTTCGCCGGATTTGGATTGGTTGTTCTGGGAGGGATAGGTGGCGCCCACATCGGGGAGAGGATCGCCTCCGTATTGAGTGTTGTTTGCCATTTTAGCTGCTGTGGGCTGGAATTGGATGAAGCTGATGCGGTTGAATGGGGAGGGTGGCGTTCGGAGTGGCAGGGGTCTGGAGTGGCAGAGGAAGGGTCTAGGAAATCGCATAGCCTGGAGTAGGATGTACACGGTAATATAGACTACCCTGGCAGTGTACTAGGTGAATTGGCTTGGTTGTCTGCATGATGGCTATTTATTTGTCCTGAGGGCTGGTTGTTGGACATGATGTCATGGCGATGTAGTTGACGGGGCCCTGTTTTTTTCGTGAGTGGCCAGAAGAGGGCAATGGATCAGAGACTGTTCTAGATAAGCTTATTTTAAATTATGATGCAGTTTTCTATTGACAGTATGCAGCAGTGGTAGGTAAGCTTGTAAGTTGTTATAGTGTATATATATAGACTGTTGGAGGAGTATTGCTCATGACCCCATTGGGTTAGTGGCACTCTTTGGGGTCACGCGTCGAGGACCGCGCGAGAATCTCTCTCAATTCTTGGATCTTTGATTTTTACTACACTCATCAGCTTGGAGGAAAGACCCTTCAACCCTTTCCAGCCATTATGTGGTGCACTTTCAGCCCTGCCGCAGCCACCGGCGTCGGTCGTTGAACTGGGATCAATTTCCGCCGAGACCCTCTGGGGCAAATGGGACCAAAATGCCAACCACCAAGCAAACCCTGAGGCAAACATGAAACACCCGCCTGCCCCCCTTATATGAACCAACTGGGGGACATGTCTCCCCTCATTTCGCTTGCTAATGGGATGAGTCCTGCGCCAATTGCCAATCAAGCGTTTCAAAAAAACAACGGTGCTCGGCCCCGGCTTTGACCAGCGACGCGCTGGAATGGGGACGAACTGCGGGTTCATGCAGCGACTTCACATCACACAGCTTTCCCGACACCAATTAATCATCACCGCGCTGTTGATTATTCACTCGCTCTTGCATCCTTCCCACGCTGCCTTTCTCCTGGCTCTTTGTTCCACCGCTCCATCTCCCCATTTTAAGTTCGCTCCTCGTTTCCCTCCAGTCCATTGCAACCGTCCATGCCGCTTGTCTGCTCACCACCATGGGTTTACTGAGCCGGCTTCGCAGGCGGTCCAAGAGCCATAGCCGCGCGGGGAATGTGGCCACCACCTACGACCACCTTTGCCTTGACTCCCACCACACTTTCGCCGGCTTCGACCTCACAAAGAAGCTTCCCCGACCGCTGCTGGCTCGCATCTTCACCTATGTGTGTCCGCACACCATCGATTCGAGCTATGATACCTCCGAGGAGTCGATGACAGAGGATGGCTGCATGCTCTGTGATATGCGCGACCTGGCACATTGTGCCGTGGTCTGTAAACGGTGGTATCTGGAGGCTCGGGCTTTGCTGTGGGTTTCTTTGTTTCCATTAATTCCGCTCTCTGCTAATCGCTAGCTTCAGTTACGCTCACGTCCGTATCGACGCCGTCCACTACTGCGAGCTCGAGGTTCAACTTGCCGCCAAACGGAAACGCCATTCCTTCTTCGACCGCAACGGCGAAGCGATCGATGCCCCACAAGTACGCTTGCAGCTATTCATGCAGACTGTACGAGATTCGCGAGACCTAGGGCGCATGGTGCTCTCTCTACGGATGCCGTACATGACACGCGAGGCCAGCAAGGCGGAGATTGCGCGCACCATCTCCGTGACGCCCAACATACGCTACGTTGACCTGCCGGCCGGGATATACAGCGATGACGCGTCGTGTCTGGCGTTGAAGCAGGAGCTTATCGGACGGTGTCCGGATTTGCGTCGCATGACCTACCGACACGGCGCCGAGGGCAGCTTCTCGCAGCTGCCGGAAGCCCGTCTGTGGCAGAATTTGGAGGTGCTGGAACTCTCTCGATTATACATTGAGCCGCGGCTTCTTCGCATGGGGCTGGCCTCGTTTCCTAAACTCCGCGACCTGACCCTCGACGACCTGCCGTGGCTGGATGACTCGGCATTTGACCTCTCCGACACTCTGCCTGCTTTCCCAGCCGTCCAGCGGCTGACCCTTCGCGATACCCCGAACGTCACGGCAAGCGGGCTTGCCGGCGTTCTCTCCCTGCCTTTGAACCGCACGGAACTACAATATTTGACACTGTCTGCGACGGGGGTGCTCCCATCCACTCTGCACCAGATCCTGTCGGCTGCGCCGCAGCTACACGCCCTATCAGTCATTCAGGACGTATCGCGGTCCTTCCCGACCGACCAGGTTCCGCCGCTGTCTTCCCGGTCGCTGCAATTACTGCACTACGAAATCACCTCGCAGGCGGGGTCGTACGGCCTGCCGCCAGTAGCTGCATCCTACTACACGTACCTGATCTCGTCGCTCATGTCAAACTGCCTGCCAGGACTGCGTGACCTGTACGTGCGCGACGCCAGCTTCTCAGAGACACTGCTGCTGGCGCCGCCCCCGCGACTATTCGGTGGCGGCGAGGGCGGACCACAGTTCTTCAGCGGAGGAATTTCGCAGCCGCTGAACGTGTACAGCAAGGGTCTGGACGAGCTTGAGTGGAATTTTACGCCGTACGAGCCACCATCAACACGAGGACGGCGCGATGGCACAACCCGACCGGTGAGCTTCCACGACGCGCAGCTCAGTCGGTCATGGGGCGGAGACGCACGCAAGAGCGTGCTAGTGGGCAATGGATTTGGTGGATTCCTGGCAGTGCCAGTGGACGATGGACGACCAAAGAGCAGCGGGGGATGGCGACGAGAGAGCCGACAAGATTTGTGGAGGTAGCAGCGAGGCAGCATAGCGAATGGAGCAATATAATGATAATGACTATACCATCATCCATAATCCCCAAGCTCCCACCATACTATATATATATATATAGTAACCACCCATCCCCATCACCCAACCCAACACCCAATTTGAAGGACCGAGAGAAGAAAGACCTAACATTCCTCCCCGACAACCAAAACCGCTACATCATGCGCCTGCAACTTCACCTCATACTTATCCTTCACACAACCCACATCCTCCCCGTCCACGCATCCGTCACCTTAAACCCTTTACCTTTCTTCCCCTTTGAATTCTTATTCTTTAACTCAGGCACCTCCCCCCAAACCGCCGTACGAGTCTTCACCCCGTCCTCCGAATTCAACATCAACACAAACACCTCCCCAGAAGACGTCGGCCCGGACCAATACTCCGCCGGATGCTCCGGATCAAACGTCCAATCGGGATTATACCCCCATTTATATGGGTACGCGGGGCGCCCGATCACAGCGTCTTGGTGGAAGGTAAGCAGGGGTTTGTTGAGGAGGATGGAGAGGTGGGAGGTGTCGATTGAGTCCAACTATACAATACCAGTTCAAATTAGCCATATGTCCGTACAGGTGTATAGGGTATGAGGGGAGGGGGAGGGAAAGGTATACCGGCGTCCCAATGATCAACGGTGCCTTCATCATGGCCCAAAGAGCAAAATGCGCTCTATTCTCAGCGAGAGTCAAATTCCCATTCCCGACCTCCAGCATGTCCGGGTCCGGATAGCCCCAGAAGTTGGCGTAGTTCATGTAGAAGCTGTTTTCGTTGGCGATTTCGGCGATGCGGGACCATGTTGCTATCACCCACCCCCCTTTATTAGTATATATTATCCCATGAGGAGGTAGGTAGTTATAGAGTATGTATGTATGTATGGAGTTGTGGGGATAGGGGTAGGGTATACCGGTAATATCTCCCGACATGCGCCAGCTATTCCCCGTTTCATTCCCCCAGGCGTTCACATCCGCTTGGCCCCAGTCACATAGTGAGTAGAGAATCGTTCTGTTGACGCTGAGTAGGGCATCGCGCATGCGCTGGTACCGTTTCGCTGTGGTGGAGGTGGCCCAGTCGTATCCCGATGGTGCAGCATCGGTCAGGTCCACGCAGGTGCCGTTGGGGAAGTTGGACCCGTCGGTGCTGTCGGGGACGCAGTAGGTGTATTGGTCTGTGAGGTTTGTGGGGACGCCGCAGTTGTCGTATTTGAGGTCTATCCCTTTTGTTAGAACAGAGGTTATCGGTGAGTGATTGGGGGAAATACAGTCAACACCCCATTCCGCAAACGATTGCGCGTCAATTTCTTCGTAGCCTAGACTGGCTGGGTAGCCAGCGCAGGTGGTGAGACCGGCGCCTTAGTATTTATATTACTTTGGTTAGTGTGGTGATCTCTTTGGAGTAGAGGGGCTGGGGTATGTGCTCACTGCTGTAGATTCCCAGTTTCAAACCCAAGGCGTGCACTTGGTCTGCGACGCCGGAGATGCCGTTGGGGAATTTGTCGGGGTCTGGGATGATGCGTTTGGTGGTGGTGTTGCGGCCGGATTTGACGGACCAGCAGTCGTCGACTGTTTCTGTCAGTCAACTGTGCCAATGGGTAGTGGGGATAATGGGGGTGGGGGTGGGGGTGGTGTACTGTTGATATACTCATATCCCAGATCCTTCAACCCCAAGTTGACCACCTCATTGGCAGCAGTCACGATCTTGTCGGCGTCAATGTCGCAGCTGTATGCGTTCCATGAGTTCCAGCCAAGGGCAGGAGTACGGCCCTACAATTGATGATAATCTTCTTGTTAGTCGAGAGATAGACATGGTAGGAATGAACGTGACATACCACGCCATCAGGTCGAACCAGGGCTGTAGCCGGCACTAACAGTACGGACGAGGTGAGAAGCCACCGCATCTTGCTCAGTTTTTACTCAATGGATAGATAGGTAGGTACGGTGAAAAGCAGACAGATCGGTGAACGAAAGGGAGTGAAAAAAAGCATAGCTTATGTAGCTGAGCTGGTCGTGCGGGGAACCGTCAATAATGCACCTGCAGGTCCGGTTAAGATCTGCAGGCGAGGCCAATAGTGTCCGGGTTTGACTTCACCTGATTTAGGCTATCTGAAGTAGACGTAAGCATTGCGGGATAATGGTTCGGTGTTTGTATTGGGACAGGTTACCGGATGTGCCGTGTTGGATGGGGAATAGTGTTGCTGCAGGTTGATGCAGGTTATATTAAGTG